CCCCCCTCCCGTCTCCCCCGACGGCCCGCGCTCACACCATTTCGGGCCTCGGCACGCTTACGTCATCGCTGCTGCGCTGTTCAGAAGCGCTCTCTATGGCAAGCCTTTTTAGCATTTAAATCTTTGTTCTGACTCCATAAATATATTTAGAGATATCTCTAATTATATTTTGACTTGTCATAATTATAATTCAACTAGTCAGAATAACAATTAGAGATATCTGCAATTGCAATTGTACTAGTACGAAATCAGATTGGAGATATCTGCAAATATATTATGACTAGTCATATTCCTCCATTGACTTCCATTGAAAAATATTTGCAGATATCTCTAAATGAGTTTTGACTAGTCACAATTGTAATTAGAGATATCTCTGAGTTTTTACTAGTCATAATACATTTGGAGATGTCTTTAATTCGTAATTTTTAGAGATATTTACAAATATATTTGAAGATATCTCTAATTAATTTACTAATAGTCGAATTACAGTTGTAGATATCTTGAATTGGATTTTTGACGAGTCAAAACTCAGTTAGAGATATCTGCAAATATTTTTCAATGGAAGTCAATGGAGGAATATGACTAGTCATCATATATTTGCAGATATCTCCAATCTGATTTCGTACTAGTACAATTGTAATTGCAGATATCTCTAATTGTCATTCTGACAAGTCGAATTATAATAATGACTTGTCAAAATATATAATTATATCTCTAAATATATTTATGGATAGTCAGAACAAGGTTTAAACAAGGTTTAAATGTTAAAACGGCTTGCCATACGCTCTCATTCAGCAGCACAGTGGAGATTTCTCTAGTTATATCCTTTCAGTCGTTTGTTATGCAGTGACATGCAGTCAAATATTTCGCCAAACACTCCTTAGGGATGCGGTGACACACAGTCAGATATTTTACCGAACAGATCCGCCACTTTTGGCGCTCATAAACAATCATAAAGCTCTCGTGCTGCAGGAATGAGGAGGTCTGCTGAAGGCGCGCAGCTGTCGTGCAGTGAGGAGTTCTCGTCTTTAATAAACTACGGCAGTTTGCGTTCACTGAACAGTAAGAATGATTAATAAATCCATATCAAACAGTCCCTTAAAAGTCACGTCTCGCTTTCGGTTTCGGGCTTTGGCGCGTTTCGCGCTCACACACAAGCGTACCGCGCCAAAGCCCAAGTGTACTGCGCTCAGGCACACCTCTTCCAACCGGGCCAGGGCCGGCCAAGTGAACCGTGCTTGAGCCCGATTCAGCGCACTCACACTTCTCAAACGATCCGGGAAACGGGCCTGGGCACGGTACGGATGGCATAGTGTGAGTAGGCCCTAAGTCTCTATTTCAGGGGTCGCCATAGCGGAATGAACCACCTACTATTCCGGCATATGTTTTTCACAGTGGATGCCCTTCCAGCCACATTCTAGTACTGGGAAACTCTCAAACACTCACATGCACACACACAAACACACATACACTACGGCCAATTTAGCTATAGCGCATGTGTTTGGAATGTGGGGAAAACCGGAGCACCCGAACGAAACCCACACCAACATGGGGAGAACATGCAAACTCCACACAGAAATACCAACTGACTCAGCCGAGGCTCGAACCAGCAACCTTCTTGCTGTGAGACAACAGTGCTAACCATTGAGCCAACATTGTCTAGAGATATTGAGGTGAAATATGACAGATATATTATTGAGGTTTTTATTTATGCTCTTGCGTTTTCAGCCAGTTTGTTTATTGTCGTCGTCTCAGAGTAGATTGTTATCGTGGAGGTTATAAGTACGCCCAGGCCTGCTGTTTTTCATTCTCTACAGGAAAGGCTTTTTTTCTCCTCCTTTTCTCTGGTTGTAGAGTGCGTTTCCTCACTAGTTCCTGCCAGTCTCCTGGGGGAAAATGCTTATCGCAGTCATTCAGCACGCCTGGTGAACGTAGCACAGATCTGCAGGCCAGAAAAAGGCCACCTGGTTCAGGGCAAACGCTGCCAAATCTCACAGCTCCGGATAACCTGCAGCTGCTAGTTCCTGTATTGCGTTCGCAGTAGATCTGACCGCATGCAGAAGATACTGTAAATCCCTCAAAGCATCAAGGTCTCAACATGGTATTTCATGTGTCAACATGGTGCTCAGTGTCACAGTATGAGCTGAAGGGCTGACCTGCGCAACTCTGAACTGTACAGATTAGCAGCTGTGAGAATCATTTCAACATGTGTGTGCATGTGTGTATATACGTTATATATATATATATATATATATATATATATACGTTAAAAACTTGGAGCACAGGTAATAAAGGGGACCTATTATGCTGAAATCACTTCTATGAGGGGTTTGGACACAGCTGTCTGTGAATATAACCAGTTTCTAATGGTACAAATGGTCTACTGATTCATTTTTTTTTATAATCACACTTGATATAAACAGTCACTTTGACATTTTGCCTGTACGTGTCACCAGAGGGGGGAAAACTCCGCCCATTAGTGACTATCTTTCCCTCATTAGCATAAACAGCTCTAAGTGAGAAGCAGCCATCTGATATAAGAGATTTCTCCTGCTGAAGATAATGTCAGCGACTAAAAGGCTTTGTAAATGTGGAGTTTTAGGATGCACAAATAAAAAGCGTAGACCCGGGCCACATGCCTGATAGACCTCTTTGATCGGCCTGCATGAAGTATTTACTTAAATTCAACCGCAAACCGGGCCTTGTAATGCACAGGTTTTATATTGCGAGTCAACAAAAGGGGACCTTCGTCTATTGTACGCTCAGTTTCATTATTTTAAATGGAGACGCACAAGTTCAGCAAATAGGAAGGGATGCACATGCCGTATGTCACGCTCGGGTTTCCAGGCACGACAAGTTTAAAAAACTCGAAACAGTTTTGAGTGTCGCAAACGAACCATGTGTAGTGTATAAATGTATGTATGTGTTTATGTGTATAAATTGCTTTAGTAAATATAAAATTGGACATTTCTGACACATTATTCACTGTAAAAAAATATCTCAATCCATATTTTGTGATTCACGAGTGTTTTTGTTTATTTATAGTTGTGAATTGCCTTATGGGATGTTGATCTCTGCTCTGTCAACTCAGTCGTACTAAAATGTGCGATTTTAAAAAGGAGGCGTGGCAGCAAACTCCACCCCCAAACCCTACCGTCATTTGGGGATTAAGCAAATTGTGCTGGATTGTACGAATTAGCTACTAAGTCATAAAGTTATGAATTTCTTTGAGATCGTGTTGGTCACAGTTGTTTTTATTTTTACTCTCCTAAATGTGCTAGATGACGTTTGAGGTTTGTTGGATGTGAATTTGCCTCTTTTAGAGTATATCTTGTGGTCTTGCGGTTTCTGCCCCCTATTTATTATTGTTTAGTGAAATTTCATGGACAAAATGCAGTCATTTCAATAGGAATCCTCTCAGATGGGAAACCATTTCCAACATATTTCACTCTCGTTTAAATTTATCATGTGAATCTTCTGCTTTGACCAATGCAAAGCTGCTCGGTTTGAGAGGTGTGTTGCTTTTTGATTGGTTCAAATAGCATACTGAGGGAAAACATGCTTTAATGCGGTTTAGAAATCGCACATGTCAAAGTTGTGATTTCGATATGATTTGCACAGCCCTAATCGTGTGTATTTGCTGCTTTGACAGATCCAAAGCTGTTCGGTTTGAAAAATATGACTGACTCTTTTGATACTGCACCCTAATTTTTCACATGTATTTTAGCTGTTCATTCATTTCTAGAGTTTCCACTTAGATATGCTTGGCATTTAAAGCAGATTTGGCATGCTGTCCCGGGAGAGAACCCTGAGCTCGTAGATAGTTGAGCCCAGGGCTCCCGCACAGTCAATAAGCATATCAGGGGATCCGAGATCAGGTAGGTCTCGATAGCTCCCCCTTTAGAAAGGGGAGAAAAAGGAGGAGATGGGGTAGAAGGGGGGATTCTTCCAAAACGAAGATAGAGCAATAAGGAAAAAGTGATCCATTTATATTAAGCTAGGATCACTCTGATTGGATTATTACTGATTACAGATGAGTAGCCAGCAGCGCTCAATTATATCACAGGCTCCTCTCGAAATTAGTTTATAAATCTTCACTTGGCTTAGTCCCTTATTTATCAGGGGTCACTTTACTTGCATTTAATGTGTTTTATGTGTATAAACTGGTTTAGTAAATATAAAATTAATCCATATTTTGTGATTTACAAGTGTTTCCTGTTTATTTAAAGTTGTGAATTGCATTATGGAATGTTGATCTTTGCTGTCAAATTTTAATGTTGAACATTTAACTAAGCAGTTTAAGAAAGTGACTTTTATTGACATTTTAGTCATTTGAAATAATATAATGTATGAAAATAAAATATATAGAGAAATACATTTGTAAAATAACAGAAAATGTACCAGCATCAGGCTTTTGTAGGGTAATATACAAGAATCTAGATGATATATCACTATTAAACGATTAAAAATGACAGTAAAAATTTATTTTTTAAACTTCTCAACATCCCATAAGTCAATTCAAGTCCCATAATGCAATTCAAATGCATAAATAAAAGTACATATGGTCCCACTTTATATTAAGTGTCCTTAACTACTATGTACTCAAAAAATAAATACAATGTAGTTAATGTGTTTATAATGTATTTGAGAACACTTGTGGTGCTTTTGAGTTGGGATAGAGGTTGGGTTATGGACAGGTTTGGTGGCATGGGTAGGTTTAAGGGTGGGTTAAGGTGTAAGGGATAGTTTACAGTGTATTTACAAATGTAATTACAAAAGTTAAATACAGATGTAATTACATACATGCATTTAATCAAGCATAAGTACATAGTAAATACATGCATTTACACAATAAGTACATTGTAACAAACTATTAATTCCCGTGTAAGTATATATTAGTTAAGGCCACTTAATATAAAGTGGGACCGTACATTTTATTTATGTATTTTTCAGATTTTTTTTTTCATCTGACTTAATGGGATTTGTCTGTCACCTTACAGGCCGGAGCAGGAGTGAACCAGCTGCATGCTCCCAACGAACACGCCATCGTCCTGTGGATGAACGACATTATCGGACGCCTAGTACACTTTTTCCTGCGAAGAAGATGATTTTCGCATTGAACACCCAGCAGACACGTAGCAGACATGTAGCATCAGACATCACCCTCTCTCTGGGCTGTATATATATAAATATATATGTATGTATGTATGTACATAATAAGGGAAAACAGCAGTGCTGCTCTTCCGCAACCTCTCTCCGGGTTTCGGCGTACAGTTTTTGGACCTGTCGGGATGTGTGCAGGACGGATTTATATAAACATCGGGAACCCTCGGCCATCCTAAAACTCACAGCAGAGTTTCCTGCGTTCACATGGAAAGCTGAGCCATTAGATGCTGTGTTGACATGAATTAAACCTGGTGTTTTTTTAATTGCACCGTATGTGGAGGAAGTGGAAAAAACGTGCCTTCATTGTTTGTTTGCCCTTGACACGTCTCTCTTTTTGTTGACTTTAGCCTGTCTTTTTTGTTTCGTTATTGCTTTTGTATTTATTTTTACTATATTTAATTTGTACATTTTGTGAATAATTTGATGCACGTTAGTGGACGTTAGTCGGTCAAGCGATGGTTTTGGTTCCGCCTGTTCCTCGTGTCCTAGTTTGCACTTGCGTTTGGTTTGCGTTAGCTTATATGAATCATATTAAAAGGATAACCCAATAGCAGGAAGTAAACAATCGGACTAAATGCATAAACAGAGATTGATCTATTTGAGTTACGCATGAATTATCTTCATTTGAATCAGGATATTTTAAGGCCTTTTCACATGACTGCTGTGACTGCATATTTCTCAATATGTTGAACTCTATGAAGGACCAAGTTACTCGGGTAACCATTGGTACATTGATTTCATGATATGATGTTCACTCTGTTCATACTGATTGCTGAAACCAGACATTAGTATGGAAGCACTAGTATTTCTATTATTCGCAAGAAATGTTGCACTAGAACAGAAAATGACCAAAAAAATAAGGATTATTACCCAACTTTAGGGGCCATTCCTGCCTGATCTCACAAGAAAACGTAACTATTTTACATTTAGTCAGTTTAGTGGCTAATCCGCATGAATTCGTTCGAGTTTAGTCGTACGAAAATGAACAATTTTAAAAAGGAGGCACGGCTGCAAACCCCAACATCATCGGGGGAGAGGCAAATCGAACTAAATTGTGCGAATGAAATCAAAGTTACGAATTGCCATGAGATGGTGTTGGCCATTCACACTCTACATCACTTTTTTCCTAATTGTTTTTTTACTTTTCTAAATGTGCTAGATGTCATTTGAGGTTTGTTAGATGTGAATTTACCTCTTCCAGAGTATATCTTGTGGTCTTGCGGATTCCGCCCACAATTTGTCATTGCTTTGAGCAATTTCATGGACAAAATGCAGTCATTTCAATAGAAATCCTCTCAGATTGGAAGTCGTTTCCAACATATTTCACTCTTGTTTAAGTTTATCAAGTGAATTTGCTGCTTTGACCAATGCAAAGCTGCTCGGTTTGAATATTATGACTGACTCTTTTGACAACAGACCCTATTTTTGCACAGATTTTAACTGTTTATTCATTTGGCTTAGTCCCTTATTTATCAGGGGTCACCACGGTGGAATGAACCGCCAACTATTCCGGCATACGTTTTACTCAGCGGATGCCCTTCCGGATTTTAACTTAAATAACTTCTTAACCCATAATATTCAGTGCAGGAATGTTCGTCAGCCTATATTTTATACACATTTTTCAGTTATACTTATTGTATATTAGTGTTTGAGCATGCGAAAATCATGTGCGAATCATACGGCGCTGCGAAAAAAAAGGAATAAAAGATGACGACTTTGACAGCACAAACGATTGCTCAGTGTTTGACATCTCTGTACAGAGTGGTCACGTTTTGATGTTCTATTGGCCTCACGCATTCAGATGATGCAAATTTGCAAGTCAAAGCTCACCAAGCTTGTACTTTAAAACCCAGTGACATGCGAAATTTGTCGTACAATCTCATATTTCCAATCGGGCACATTAGCACGGGCTGAAAAGTGCAGTGTGTGAGCGGCTTTATTGAGGATACAGCATTCTAAAAACAACAAGTTTAAAGTTTAATATTTAAAATACATCTTGAGGCATTGCATGTAAAAATGTTCTATTGTTGCTTTGCAAAATTATGTGAACAAAATCCTTAATTTCAATAAGAATCTACGCAAAAAGGAGTTGCGCTTCAGTAAAGAGGGCCAGTTCACCCAAAAAATAGAAATGTTTTCATCTTCAAGTAGTTCCAAACCTTTGTAAGTTTATTTTTGGTGAACACAAAAGAAGATATTTTAAAGAATATTGTAAACCAGTAGCCATTGATATCCATAGTAGGAAAAAAAATACTATGGAAGTCAATGGCTGCTGGTTTCCAACATTCTTCAAATTATTTTCTGTTCTGTTTAACAGAAGACAGAAACTCAAACAGGTTTGAAACAAGTGAAGGATGAGTAAATGATGACAGGATTTTTGTTTTTGGGCGAATTATCCCTTTAAGGGCCAAATATTTTGAATTTGTTACTTATATTAGTTGATTTTAACTATAAAAATTGCTTTGTTTTAAAGGTCTGAGCACCACTTTTAACAGTTGACCACAAAATTTAACCAAGCTTATTGTGCATACAGCCATGTGTCGAAACCTCCCATCTCTCTTCCATTGATTTTTAGCCATGCATAAATGCTGGTTACTGTTGCAAACTGGTATTTTCTTATCCTGTTATTTTAATTGTAAAGTACTTCACTTGGTCATTTATCCATAGGCAGATGTATTAGTAAAAGTCCAGACACAATCACAAAATTACCCTAATTCTGCATTGCAAAAATAAAGGGAATAGCGTTATCCAAATTTCAGCTCATTTCTCAAACCCAAACATTTAAAGGAGTACGTTTTTGATAACCTACATTTTCATGTCATTTGTTTCCGGTTACATACTCACACATTTTAGTTTAGTTTTGTTTTCCGAAGCAAGCAGAGAAACTCACTTGCGCTTGTAGCCGTTACGATACAACACGTTTTATTTGAAGGTCAAAGATTTGCATTCGTGATGAAAGTCATGTGAAAAGGTCTCATGAAGCTTTCAGGTACTAGATGAACAGTATATGAACTCGTATAAGATACTTTACAGTTGACAAAAATCGAATTGGACAGGCAAAGGTAGTGAGTATGTGTAACTAATACAGATGTAATGTTTTTTAGACATCATAATCATTCCACATTTGGTATTCCGGTTAATTAAATGTTCTTATTTGTTTGCTTATTAAAGTTAAACTTCCATTTGTTTCGACAACATGCGCTTATGCCTAGTTTTGTGAATCTACACTGTAAAAAAATGATTAGTTGACTTTACTTTTTTAAAAGGGAGTAAAATTGTTGGCTTAAAAGCAACCGTTTTACTCACTTTAGTCAACTAATTGCTTTAAAGCAACTTGACTTTACTTTAAAAAGTGAGCAAACCCGTGCATGATTGATTAGTTGACTTGACTTAAGCGAGTGAACTTGTCACTTCTGAAGCAAATAGTTGACTTTACTTTCAAAAAGTGAGTAAAATTATTGAATTTAAACCGATTAGTTGACTTTACTTTTTAAAGTGAGTAAACCCATTGCTTTTAAGCGATTAGTTGACTACTGAAAAAAGAAAATAAATTAGTTGCTTTTGAGGCTATTACTTGACTTTAAAAATTGTTGCCTTTAAACCAATTAGTTGACTTACACAAGTGAGTATAACTGCTGCTTTTAAGCGATTACTTGACTTTATTTTAAAAAGTGAGCAAACTCAATGCTTTCAAAGCGATTAGTTGACTTAAATAAGTGGGTAAACTTGTTGCTTTTGAAGCGATTAGTTGACTTTACTGAAAAAAAGTGTCAACCAATTGATTTTATGTGATTAGTTGACTACTTTGAAAATTTGAGTAAAACCAATACTTTTAAGCTATTAGTTAACTTTACATTAGAATAGAGTAAACCCGTTGCTTTCAAAACCATTAGTTGACTTTACCTTAAAGTGAGTAAAATTGTTGCTTTCTAAGTAATAAGTTGATTTTACTTTTAAAAAGCAAGTAAACCCGTTGATTAAGTGATTACTTGACTTTATTTTAAAAGGAGAGCAAACTCATAGCTTTCAAAGTGATTAGTTAACTTAAATGTGTGAGTAAACTTTTTGCTTTTTAAGGGATTAGTTCACTTTACTTTTAAAAAGCAAGTAAACCTGTTGATTTTAAGCGATTAGTTGACTTCATTTTAAAAAGTAAGCAAACTCATTGCTTGTAAGCGATTAGTTGACTACACTTTTGAAATCGATGGGTTTACGTTTTCTTAAAGTAAATTCAACTTTGAAAGCAACAAGTTTACTCACTTTTTTAAAACGATTAGTTGACTTTACTGTAAAAAAGTGAGAGAACTTATTGCTTTCAAATCATATAGTTGACTTCTAAAAAGCAAATGTGTTGTTTTTAAAGCGATTAGTTGACTTTACCTTAAAAAGTGAGTGAACTGGCTGCTTTCAAAGCAATTAGTTACCTGTTGATTTTAAGCAGTTACTTGACTTTACTTTTAAAAAGTGAGTAAACTTCTTGCTTTCAAAGCGTTTAGTTAACTTTAAAAATGAGAGTAAATCCATTGCTTTTAAGCAATGAAAAGTTGACTTTACTTTGAAATCAATTGGTTTACTTTTTCTAACTAAACCGCTTTAAAGCAATGGGTTTACTCACTTTTTTTGAAAGCGATTAGTTGATTTACTTGACATTATTGTAAATAAAAAAATTAGTAAACCCATTGTTTTTTTGGGGGGGGGGTATTTTGGCAATTAGTTGACTTTACTGAAAAAAGTGAGTAAACCCATTGAATTTAAGCCATCAGTTGCCTCTAAAAATGTGAGTAAATCTATTGCTTTTAAGTGATTAATTGATTTTGCTTTGAAATCAGTGGGTTTTACTTTTTTTAAATAGTAAATTTATCTAATTGATTCGAAGGGAACAAGTTCACTCACTTTTTTTTAAAGCGATTAGTTGACTTTATTTTAAAAAGTGAGTAAACTC